ATATATCAGTTTACGCAAATCAAATCAAATACTTGTTACATACACTTTATTCAATATACAAATATAGATAACTACTCTTGTGGTAAAACAGTTTTCTTCAAAAGAATTTGAAAGACCACTACAAAATGTGTCGGCACATTTATACAACCTAAAATATAATTTTTTAAGTATAATATTATATATAGGTATCTATATTTATTTTCTACCTATAATATTATATAATCGGTCCCAAATCCTTCTTGGCTTTGATTCAAAATCCCCAAACCAAACCCAAAAACCCTAATCCCTATTTCCTTCAAACGAATGTGAACACTCAATACTCCAAGTATCGACACATTTATACAACCTATAATATCATTTTCTACCTATAATATTTAATAAAAGTATCAATATTTATATTTTACCTAGAATATCACTTTCTACCTGTAATCGATCCCAAATGCTTCTTTACTCCAAAACCCTAAACAACATATAAAAACCCTATTTCTGATTACTGTAATAATAATAAAAACTAGGGTTTTGACAATGTACTTTTCGATTCGACTGCAACAACAAACAAACAAACTTCGCTTTAGAAACGCATTCTGAAATGCAGAAACAATTACGCTTCAATTTCAAAAACTTGTCCGTTCTATCTATTTTTCAGAGGATATTTAACTATGCCCTTTATATTTTCACTGGATATTTTATTTATATTTAATCGATACAACTACAAAAGTGTCGATACTTTTATGTCAGGTGTCGATACTTTCGATAGAATAATTACCTATTTCTTTGAAAATATCGATAATTTATTACGCGTACTTATTAAAGTATCGAAACTTTCAATATATCCGGTAGTGCTTTACCGGTTTTTTCATTTCAAGACCGGTTTTGTCATATTTTTACCTGTTATATCGTTGTGGGCCGATACATTGCTATAAAGTATCGACACTTTATAGGCGCTAACACTACTTCTCTTTTAAATTCACAAAGTGTCGATACTTATATTAAAGTATCGACACTTTAAATATATCCGGTCGCTCTATACCGGTTTTGTCATTTAAAGACCGATTTTGTCATAATTTTACCTGTTATATTGTTTTGGATCGATACATTGTTATAAAATATCGACACTTTATGGGCGCTAAAACTGTTTCTCTTTTAAATTCACAAAGTGTCGATACTTATATGAAAGTATCGACACTTTAAATATATTCGGTCGCTCTATACCGATTTTGTCCTTTAGAGACCGGTTTTGTCATATTTTTACATGTTATATCATTTTAGATTGATACATTGTTACAAAGTATCGACACTTTATGGGCGCTAAAACTGTTTCTCTTTTAAATTCACAAAGTGTCGATACTTATATTAAAGTATCGACACTTTCAATATATCCGGTCTCTCTATACCGGTTTTGTCCTTTAGAGACCGATTTTGTCATATTTTTACCTGTTATATCGTTGTGGATCGATACATTGTTATAAACTATCGACACTTTATAGGCTCTGGAACTGCTTCTCTTTTAAATTCATAAATTATCAATACTTATATTAAAGTATCGAAACTTTCAATATATCCGGTACAACTTTATCGGTTTTGTCTTTTCAGGATTGATTTTGTCATATTTTTACTTGTTATATTGATGTGGATCGATACAGTTTTATAAAGTATCGACATAAATCGCCAAACTAAGTTTGCCGGTTGCCAAATTTTTTAATATTTCTTTATTATTTAGACCTACTACATTATTATTACTCAATATTTCCGATAGCGCTAAACCGAATTTGTTAAATATCTTTTGATGTATCCGGTAACGCCGTATATTAGCCCGCCTTTCCTGAGACAATCCCGGAGCTAACCGTAACTAAACAGTTCCATTTATGTATATATATACATATATCTTTCCATATGAAAAAACCAAAAATCCAAATATTTTTTAAATAAAAGCGGCTAATATTATTAAGAAAGAAAAAATATAATTAGAATATTCAAAATTATAATAAGAGTTTACAACTATATTTGTAAACTAAATATATAATTAAGATATTGTCTCATGATCAACACAAAATATAATTACTTAAGATCATATAAGAATCATATAATGAAAAGGTGAAAACCCATAAAAAATCTCAAACAATAGTTAGATACAAACAAATCTAATTGCTACTGTAAACGAACCACAACATGAGATTTAACTACGGAAAGACCACCGATAAATGTCAATAAGAGTCAAGTATCATGAGAAAACTATCTATGAATACATGTTGTGAATCCAAATCCAATTCGAGGGTTCAAAATAATTCAATCAATAAACACTAAAGAGACTTTGAAATATACTGTCCACGTCATAATAGAAGGACATGCACGATGCCTTTTCAATTTGAAAAACAAAAGGTAAAAGAGTATATGAGACTCTCGTACTTTAAAAAAAACAATGTGACCCTCAAATTCAGAAAACAAACTCAATATGACCCTTTGACCAATGATTTTCGTCGTTGACCGTTACAGTGCTAACGTAGCAGTCCACAGTGACTGGTGATGTGACAGATGGGCTAAATTGATTTTTTTATCAAGTTCGATGATCAAATTGGGTTTTTTTAAAGTTCAATGACTTATTTGATTTTTTTTAGAAAAAAAATATTTTAGATTTTAAATTTTAAACTTAAACTATACAAATATGAAAAAAAATTAAATATAGAAATATTAAAAATAAAAAGTAAATTACTATATATATATATATTTAAAAAATTTAAAAATTAGATTACTAAGGAAATATGGTACTTATTTTTTTTAAATTATAATACTTAAATCATTTTTAAATATTTAAACATAATAAATTTAAATACATATAAATATTTATTTTTTAATTATAATAACATTAATGTCAAGTAAATTAATATTCAATCGATAATTAAATAAAATAAATCAAAAAATAAATTGATATTAAACTTATGTTTTTATTTGTTTCCAATCTATTTATACAAATTCTTTCATTTCCTTCATCACAATCTTTAAACATTTTATATAATTTGTACCTTCAGTTTTAGCATATCACCCACAATCCAAATTATCCAACTTTTCAAATGAATCAAATTTCTATAGTTAAAATTTAATTTTGAAAAATCAAATAATCCCTTGAACTTTAAAAAACCCTAATTTAACCCTCAAACTCGATAATTTTTTTAACTTATCTGCCACATCACCTGACACCGTGGACTGTCATGTCAACATTGTGAAGTGTCACATTAACATCATTACGTTCAACGACGAAAACCGTTGGTCAAAGGATCACAATGGATTTATTTTTTTAGGTTTGAGGGATACGTTAGATGAAAAAAATGATGAGAACTACATTGATTTTTTTTTTGAAAAATACGAGCGCCTCCCATTCCATTTTACCAAAACAAAACTTGAATCTTCCCTAAGAAAGTTCGAATCATATATAGAATTTCTGCTGATTAATCTCTCTTGTATGAATCATATGGATAATTTAGACCTATCTCCTTTGCCTTATCCACCCACCAAATGACTAACATACGACCAAAGAGGCAAATTCGTTACTTTTAATCACTTATCCATCTGATTTGGTTATTTGACATAATAATTACAACATGAATTTTCAAATAAATAAAGTTCCAATCTTAGAGAGGAAAAGAGAAATTCCTCGTCATTTTTGTTTCCCAAATAGAAAAAAAAATGTAATAAAAAAACGTGACTGGATTCAATGTATTTTGTTTTAAGATAATTCAGGTAAATCCAGGTCAGATCTTTAATTGTCATATATGCCAAAATTAATTAATTTCTAAACAAAGTTCAATTCTCTGTTTTATATATATAGCTTCAAATCCTCCACCTCTCTTCACAAAACCCTCGTTAATTTCCTCACTCTCATATCAATATTTGGTTATCCGTATTCAATTAACTATGGCAGGAACCCAGAGCCGTGGTCATGTTTTCGCCGGTAAGAAAAGAGGTACAGCGGCCGATGACTTTGATGGGGATGATGTTTTCGTGACAAAGAAATCAATGTTGCCCACAATGGCAACGGAAAGCGACCCTGCCGCAGCATTAGCCAGCGCCCGCCATGAATTCGGTGAGCATGGTGGCGTTAACATGTCCATCGAAGCCTCCGCCACCTTCACCGTCATGGAACCTGAAAGCATGCGCCGTATGTTCGCCGGTGAACTCGGTCCCGATCGTGATTTCTTCATCTATAACCGTCATTTCAACCCCACCGTCTAGAATCTTGGCCGTCTCATGGCAGCTCTCGAAGGAACCGAAGCTGCCTACTGCACCGCTAGCGGTAATTAGTTAATCCTCCCTCGTATGTTGTTAAAAAGAAAAAAGTTGCCGTTAATAATTGATTTGGTTTCGTGATGGCAGGTATGTCAGCTATATCATCCGTGCTGTTGCAACTCTGCAGCAGCGGCGGGCACGTGGTGGCATCGAGGACGCTCTACGGCGGCACCCATGCACTTCTAACGCATTTCTTGCCCAGAGCCTGTAACATCACGACCACGTTTGTCGACATCAACGATCTCGAAGCAGTGAAAAATGCCATCGTCGAAGGAAGGACCAAAGTCTTGTACTTCGAGTCGATGTCGAATCCCACACTAACCGTGGCCAACATTCCGGAACTAAGCAGAATCGGGCACGAAAAAGGAACCACGGTGGTTGTGGACAACACCTTCGCCCCAATGGTTCTTTCCCCGGCTCGGCTCGGAGCTGATGTAGTTGTTCATAGTTTCTCCAAGTTCATCAGCGGTGGGGCCGATATTATTGCAGGTTTGTCGTGTGTTTCTCAGTTTTTTAGAACACGTGCCAGACAAATCTTCATTGTTTTGTTTTGATCAATCACGTGTGGTCTTGTGATTAAATGGAGAATTGGAATCTTAGAAAGTTAAACTCTGTTTGTTTTCAGCAAACCAATTACGGAATTGGTTTTCCCTCAATTACCGTGTTTGGTTTTCGTAAAAATCTTTTGTCAATGTAAAATCAATTACGGTCAACGTAAAATAAACTCTTTTAGCCCGTAAAATAACTTACCATGAAAAAATAGAGAATTCATTTTACGAACCAACTGCATCCCATGTTTCTTTGCCTTTGATCTCCTTCATTCTCCGATCAACTATCATCTTCTTGTCACCAACAACAAAATCAACAGATTTTTCCAGCAAAATCAAGGGAGGAACTCTAGGATTCTAAGGTAATATTTCGAATCCCTAATGCTCTTCCTCCCCTTTTGCTTTCCTCTTTGATTTCCAAGGGTAAATCTCTTTAAAATGTATCAATCTCACTGCCATTTTCCCTCTGTATGCGGTGATTGATTCGGTAACCACCGAGGTCGACATTTCAACTGGGATCTTTTTGGTTCTTAAAACCCATTTTTATTACCATTTATAGTTTCATGCTTATGAATTTTCTGTCTTTTTCGTTGTTTACTGGTATCCATATGTTTTCCAGATTACCATTTAAGAGGTCGAACTCAACTTTTAGGGGAACCCAGCTTTTAGAGTCTAAACCATTTCCAGATTACCATTCGTCGGATTCTACTCGCTCGCAAAGCGGAGTCCGGTTGTTTTCGACTTATCGCCGAATTGTAAGTTCTGTGTTTCTGTTAATTCTATTATGTTTATGGGTACGTGCAGTTATGTGGATCCATGTTTTGATTGTTTGACAGCTTGATTTTGAGCTACTAGTATTCCATTTTTATCTGCTTTTTTAGCTACAGTTTGCAGTTTCAAGGCAATATTTTCAACATATGCAACAAAAAATGACACTGAAAGTGATATACATTCTAGGATGATGGAAAAACAAAATAGGGGAAGGGAAAAAAGAGATGAGCATCATAAAAATGAACCAAATAAGTATCTGATGTTAATGTTGTTATCTATACGAAATAAGAACTTGATCTAGCAGTAAAAGGAAAAGCAGTAGGTTCAAGTTCCACAATGCACTCATGTGCAGGTCGAACTCAGCTTTTAGAGTCTAAACCATTTCCAGATTACCATTCGTTGGATTCTACTCGCTCGCAAAGCGGAGTCCGGTTGTTATCGTCGACTTGTAAGTTCCGTGTTTCTGTTAATTCTATTATGTTTATGGGTACGTTCAGTTATGTGGATCTATATTTCGATTGTTTGACAGCTTGATTTTGAGCTACTAGTATTCCATTTTTATCTGCTTTTTAGCTACAGTTTGCAGTTTCAAAGCAATATTTTCAACATATGCAACAAAAAATGACACTGAAAGTGATATACATTCTAGGATGATGGAAAAACAAAATAGGGGAAGGGAAAAAAGAGATGAGCATCATAAAAATGAACCAAATAAGTATCTGATGTTAATGTTGTTATCTATACGAAATAAGAACTTGATCTAGCAGTAAAAGGAAAAGCAGTAGGTTCAAGTCCCACACTGCACTCATGTGCAGGTTGAACCGTAGTCGCTTTGCTAGTTACTTATGGCAACAGGTTCAACATAATTTTTTCTTTTTTTCTTTGCATTAGGGAAAAAAACTTCAGCTTGACATTAAATATGCAAGGGAAGTGCCCCAAAAATAGCCGTCAACTTGGCATATATCAGATTTGATCTTGAAGTTAACCATCTACAACACCACCTTGATTATCACCATCATAGGCACGCACTACTGGGATCTTCAGTAGCAGCTGTTTGATATTGGATGCTAGCTGCATTAGCATCATCGTCACCACATTCGGATACCGAGCTATGTTGGTGGGTCCATGAGATGAAGCATAAGAAGAAGCAGAGGCTGCAGCAGCTCTATCAGCGCTCCGTTTAAGCCTACGAATGTGATTAAGAATCAAAACACACTCGTTAAGGGCAAGCTCAATGCCACAGTTTGCTTTCATAGCTGAAAGCTTCTCCCAAGTGCGTCTTCTCCCTTGGTTGACTCCCTTTTGAAGCGCATCACCATTGCTGCCAACCAGAATAGAACCATCGACCAGCTGGTTTAAGCGCAACGTGCACAACCACAATGGAGTATGAGGTTGGCTTGCCTCTTTTATATCATATGATATTGTTAAGTGTGATGGCTTGTTGCCAACAAGCCATTGCTTCAGTGGCAAGACTTTGAAAATATTATTATTTTTGTTGTTTTAATAATGATGTAATTTTAATTATATACTTTGATAATATATTTTAATACATTATCAACATTATATTATTAAACCTACATGTTTTCTACAAATTTAATTTCATGTACTTATACAAATAAAACATTGCATTTCAAAATTTTATAAAATAACTTAAAAAAATTAAAATGTAAATAACAAGAAAAATATAAAAATATATATTAAAAAAAACAGATTTCATAAATTGTTTTCAGGAAAACTAACCAAACAGTGTAAAACATTTTATAATGCAGCATCCAAATAATGTAATTGGTTTTCTGGAATTGGTTTTTCAGAAAATCAATTACAACCAAACAAACAGACCCTCAGTACAATGCAGTTAAGCCAAAGTTTGGCTTTTGTGGTTGTGGGTGCCTACATATCTTGTGAATGGTGTCACAACTAATTCTCATGTGCCATAATTTTAGTCTTATATTTATTATCCACATAATCTTAAAAGGTATATTTGATCAAGAAAAATAATAAAATTATCTCTAAAAAATAAATGATAAATTTGATAGATTATTTGGATAGGTATAAAAGAAATATAAGTAAGGAAAAAGAAACATAAGTGTTGTTATATGTTTACTTTTCTTATAAGATATTTTGAACGAAATACTTTTAAAAACTAAAAGAGACACATTTAATAGGACGGAAGAAGTATATATAGGAATGGTCATGATAAGTTTTTTTACATGCTTCTGATTTGATATAGACTTAAGAGGATTTTATCTAACTTAAAATTAGACTTGAATTTTTTAAGTAAAAACTTGCATTCAACCTAACCTAATTATATATATATAATTCATCATAAATTTAACTCGATCATACCTTTAAAAAATTCAATTTAACTCAAATATATAATTCTCAAAATAAAAAATCAACTCAACTTAATTGAGTTTAGTCGGAATTCATTTACTCAATGATATATATATATATATATAGTTAAATTTCGTTTTCTAGCGGATAAAGATCATTATCATGCATGTGGGTAGGTGCTGTTTGTGGCCCCGCAAGCCTGGTGAACTCAATGATGGATCTCCATCAAGGTGCCTTGATGCTTCTAGGCCCGACCATGAACGCCAAAGTCGCCTTCGAACTGTCCGAAAGACTTCCTCACTTGGGCCTGAGAATGAAGGAGCATTGTCGCAGAGCCATGGAACACGCCATTAGGATGAAGAAACTCGGCCTCAAAGTCATATACCCAGGCCTCGAGGATCACCCACAGCTCCAGCTCCTCAAATCCATGGCCGGCAAGGAATACGGTCTTGGTGGGCTTCTTTGTGTCGACATGGAAACTGAAGAAAGAGCCAACAGGCTGATGCACCACTTGCAGAACTACACTCAGTTTGGGTTCATGGCAGTTAGCTTGGGTTACTACGAGACTCTCATGTCCTGCTCCGGCAGTAGCATCGGCATCTCACCGGGCCTGATTAGGATGTCCATTGGATACATTGGGACATTGGAGCAGAAGTGGAGCCAATTAGAAAAGGCACTCTCTAGGATGCAGGATTCCACCGTGTTCAATAAGAACTAATGGTTCTCTGCTGCAAGGTCTCGTTTATGTTGATTGGCGTTGTTTTGCGTTAAATAATATTATGTTTTAAGAAAAGTTGGCTAACTGAATGCCTCGTACAAGCTTAACATGGTCTAATTGAGAAGACTTGAACATGACGAGCCAGCATGGTCCATTTCTAAACAAAGAAACTTCACTTGAAAAATAAATGGAACAACTACATAACTTAAGCAAATTCCAACTATGCTCTTCAAATATTCATTTCTTCATTTATACATGTAGTTTTAGGCTCCAATGCAAATATTTTTAAACAATTATTCAAAATTTGAGAAATTAAATTTGAATATATTATATAAAAAAGTCAAGACTCAATTACTAACTTTTAATTTTTTTTCTCTAAACAACGTTCCCAGAAGAATAAGGCAATTAAGAGTGAGTATTTGATCAAATCAAGTTAAATCAAGTAAAAACATTTTTGAGTTAGCCAAGTTAATTGATTTGATCCTACTTCTGCATCTACTACTTTTCATCTTGCTATCTTCAACCATGCATAAGTTGAAGGATTAGGGAACATTCTTTCTATCTCTTATTCTATTCACTTAAGTTACATTTCAATACTTTGCATATTCATCATTTCATGAAGCATATATTATGTTTATCTTGCTTTATCATGCATTGCATTGCATTCATGTCATGTTATGGTTAGTATGATAAACTATATCATGTTACATTGCATATTCTATATCATGTTACATTGCATATTCTATCTTACCTTATACATCTATATGTTAGGCATTATCATGATATAATATGCTTAACATATTTGCATTCACATCTTTACTTAGTATGAATTATGTTTATGCATTTATACTTGGCTCATATTATGTTTTTGTTAGCTCATTGGATTGTTATCTAGCTCATTCATTCATGGAAACATCTATTTCATTCATTTTCATAAGTTCTATTACTTATTTCATTGTTTTCTTATCATACATAGTTGCACAATAAGCCAATGATGATTATGATAGCTTTTGGATAACTTACTATATCTTTGGCAACCCGTGGGATCAAGAACATCGAATGATAGCTCACCAACACTTAAGGGAGCTCAATGGACTTAAAGGATAGCTAAAGGAGTTGAAGAGTAGCTGACATTAGCTGGAGAGTAGCTAAGGAGCTGGAAGCTGAGCTATAGACTTATGGCAACTAGAGGCAGCTGGAATGACACTAGGTACCTAGTGTAACCCCCTAGACTCGACCTATGCGTCACAACTAGATCTAGTGGATTACGATAAAAATTTTCCAAAATATTTTTCAATAATGTAAACCATATTACTAATAAATATCTTTAAAAATATAGTTGATAACATTAAAATTCAATTCCATATAATTAAAGTCGTAAAATCTAAATAAAATAAAATATTCCAACATTTTCAAAATATAGGCACATGTCACCTAAAATAAAGGCAAATCGGAATATAAAAACATTACAACAAAAGGTACAGTACGAATGTGACTATCCTTCAAGTGTCAGGTACAGGTCGCCTATCAAAATGTATATGAAAAGATAAAGTTGGGGGAGTGAGCTAGGGAGCTCAATGTGTTCCAACAGTGCAGAAATAAAACATATAGTTTAGATTTCAAAATCAGTTCATCAATAAGGTCATGAAATGTATGTAGAGGTTTCAAAATCAGTTCAATTCCAAATTATGAAAACGTCAGTAGTGTTTTTAGTTTAAAATTTCAGAATCGCCCTCCAATCGAACACTATATGTAGTTTCCCAGAACTGCATCCATAAAGACTTACCTTAGGCCCCAAAGGGTGTACATGCCAACCTAAGGGAGACCTTGGGTCCATAAGGTCTTATCCTAGCCGAAGCGTAGGTGCTGTAACATCCATCTCCCGTATACCCTTCTGTACATGAGATACGGATGTCACATCACTTTATAAAACTTTTTGTGCTTTGAAAACCCGTAAAATTTTGTTTCAATTTGAACAACTCCAAATATGATATTCATGGAATCAACATACTAAAACTATCACTTAAGTACCTTACAAAATATTTACCATAGTTTAATTAAAATGCCAACTAAGTTCTCAAAATGAATAAGATTGTCATAATGTTACTGATGAGTCAACCTTTAATTGATGAAAGCTACTGCTACTGCTGCACTCCTTACGCAACTAATCTTTGTCTTTACCTACGCGTGAAATCAACACACGTTAAGTATTTACTTAGTGATACATAATAATGTAAAGATATTACAATTATACTACAGTATCGTATGAATATTGCATGAAGAATTGAATTGCATCATTTATAAGGACCAGTTAAGCCCTTCTCAGTTAAACCATAATTCTTTCATACCATCATGGAAATTATTCCTAGTATGCCCATCACACCTATCATTCTGTATATTTTCCCTCTTATTCTTTATTTGCCCTGTGTACATTAATTGTGAAAGTACTATACATGTATTGCACCAAGGTGCCACTTGAACATATATCTTTTATTATCATTATGGTGACACCTTAAATACTGTTAATACACTTTTTTGTATTTTCATTTGGGCATCCTTTCATACCCATTATGTTAAGTTTATATTTTCCTTTATAACATCCATTCATACTAGTTATGCATTGTTGTAAATTATATATATATATATTTATATCATACCTTCATATCAATTATGCACAATTCATATCACAATACATTATAATCCCTTTATTCTTTTATCCAAAGGTATTTAACCGTTCATATAACTGGCATAATTGACATCTTTCTGTCAAATGCACAGTTAGGCTTCAAAGGCACTTAGCCTTTCATCTATTTGGCATAAATGACACCTTTCTATCAAATGCACAGTTAGGCTTCAAAGGCACTTAGCCTTTCATCTAACTGGCATAAATGACACCTTTATGTCGAATGCACAGTTAGGCCTCAAAGGCACTTAGCCTTTCATCAAACTGGCATAAATGACACATTTCTGTCAAATGCACAATTAGGCCACAAAGACTCTTAGCCTTTCATCTAACTGGCATAAATGACACCTTTCTGTAAAATGCATATTTAGACCTCAAAGGCACTTAGCCTTTCATCTAACTGACATAAATGACACATTTCTGTCAAATGCACAATTAGGCCTATTAATATTTTATTTTAGACCAGTTTCTACTATAATAATCATTCATAATATAAATTAACCCTTTCAATCATTATACATTCTATAGTTTATACCTATAGTGCCCATGCAATAATCCCACTACCAATACGGCAATTCACCTTCTTATTATGAACTTATGACAATTTCACATTTCAACAGATTCTTTCAAGTCAATAAACACTCTATGGTTTACATCTGTAGTGCTAATACCATAATTTCTCAATTGTTTCTATAATCTATGTGGTTTGCATTCCCATTACCAATATAAA